CTTTTGTTCGGCATCCATTTCCATCACTTTCATATGAGATTAAATCTTTTTGGGAACGGGCGCTTGCTTTTGAACTAAGAACTCCTCCATGTGAAAATACATGATTTTTGAACAAAAATTGGATTTTGGCAGATTTTGGCGCATATACCTGATCTCAGTAGAATCAACAATGCCCAAAATTGTAATGTTTTGCTTTTTTCATGCACTAAAGCGCGGAGTCAGCTGCGGTGAGATGATGCAACATAGATAATATCAATGACCCACCTGTAGATGAAATTTATAGGAAGTTCCGATTAAGTGCATACTTAGATTAGTCTACATTAGCTCTACTTCACATCTCGTCTATAAAGCAATACTTCTACTTTTTTAAAGAACTATGTGGTAGAGCAATTTTTGTGGACCTCTGCATTTTGGTCAAAAACTCGGTAATGATGCGCTGACTTACGCAGATCATCATCATCTAACATCATCCAAGAACTGCCTGAAACTTTAGGTTAGGGCTGCCAAAAGCTTTTTTTTTCAAAGTGTAATAAGTTATGAAAAAATTAAGAGTTCATGCTACATATTAAACAATAGATTTAAAAGTAGAAAGCTCTCTTCATAGTGTATCAAATGGTTTACGCAGCAATTTCTTTTTCGTTAATTTGGAAGCAATGGAAATTGAATTTTCGGAAGGCCAAAAAAGGGAAGGAGGAGGGAGAGATGAAGACAGTAGAATCAGCGGTTTCCCTGGGAAATAAAATTCGAGTATTGTTCCTAACGTGCGAAAAGCACTAATGAAGATGATTTCAGTGACCAACTTTTGGGTTAACCCAACCACTTTTTAGACAATTCAATGTTTGGCTAAGTATTGGTATTTTCACATTTGGAAAATGAGCTGTCGATAAAGCTTTCGGCCCCCCTTGAAAATCCATTCTCCATTTCTGATTTAACAAAATGGGAATTTTTGGATAAGCCAAACGTATTACATGTAGAAGGTGGCTTTGTTTTTAAATGTTACCAATGTTTGTCCCTAAGGTTTTTTTCCTATCGCCCTCAGCGACGGACAGATCACATGTCTGTATCGTTTTCAAGTTCAAGGGTAAATTCCGCGTTTTATCGGTGACGGCGCCGTGATGGCTAACAGTTTTTCCGTGCCATTCTGTCACGTTGTTTTGTCCTTGTCTATCATAATCTCCAATCTTTCGGGCGCTTCCCCTTAGACTGACC